ATGAAGAAAACCAAGAGCATAATCCGCAGAGAGCAAAAAAAGTGTCACCTTTTATATCTTAACAAAAGTTTATTTATTCGTGAAAAACCAGAAGTTGTCTTTTCTTCCTCTGGACGGGCCTTGACTAATGTCTTCAGTGTTTGGTCAATTTTCTCAAAATATAGCCATCAGAATAATAGTGTTGCAAATACACATTCTTAAATACTTTTAACAATTAATTAGACTTATATATATATATTTATGTGCATACACGTTTAATATATATTGTATGAAGTTTGAGTTTGAGATAAATTATAAAATTCTTTTGACAAAAAATAATGTTTGTGGCTATATTAATATAGCTAAAGTATACACTTGGCCTTTTAACATTGTATGAGGTTTTAATTTAATCCCTTAACTTTAAAAAATATACTTTTAGTCTTTTTACTCTAAATTTTTTTTAAAATGATGTGATTAAGATCTTAAATGTTGATAAAATATTCTTAAATGCTAACATATTAAGTTTAATTTTTAAAATATCCATGATTGTTATGAAAAAAATCATTGAAGCTTAATGATTTTACAGTTAAAAGACTAAATGTATACTTTTTAAAATTAAAACTTTTTATAAAGTTAAAGGACTAAATATATATTTTTACCTATTAATATTGATAAGAAACAATTTTGAATTTCGGTATATTTTTATGCAACTACAGAATAAATAATAATTTAACATTCAAATCAAATATACAGAAAGTAAATAGAACAATGATTTCCTGCATTGCTGGCAAAAGCCCTGAGGAACCATAGCCATTCAAGTTTGAAAGGAGGAGGGGGCTTTCAAATCATACGTACTCATGGTCACAATCTGACGTTGCAATTTTCATTGCTTATTCCTCTGTTTTTGGCGTGGCCTTTTATAGACGCTGAAGGAAGGCTTTCGTTGGCTCTTCTGAATCCGAGTCTATCTCAGCCTTCGGGTTAAACGACAGCTCATTTCGGTGTCTCTTTCTCTGCTCTCTGCTTTGCTACCGTTTTGTAAGTTGTTTCTCTCAATTCTAGGTTCAATTCTTCTTAGATGATCGATTTGATCTCTTAATGTTTGGAATTGGGTTTGATTCGGAATTATGTTGCTTGCAGATTTTTTATTTTCATTTAGTGATTGGCATGATTAGATTCGGTGGTTTGATCTAAGCTCTTTATTTTTCTCCTGATCTTCTGGTTGATTGCCGAGAGATAAACGACGCCACTGGGTTGATTTTTCTTGTTTGGATTGAATTACTATGCCGACTTAGCTACCCTTTAAACTGTGTGCATTTTTCCCCTTAATGCTGGTTTTATAATTTTGTTGAAGATTTTATGTATCTCTCCATAGCATCTGAAATATGCAAGGGACTTTGTGTTAAGATCGCATTATTATGCGGTCTGTACTTTTTCTTGTTGCTATGCTTTGATTTTTTTTTTTTTGGGTTCTGATTCAAGATATTCGAGTTCTTCCCTCTCAAATATTCCATGTATTGCAAATATCGGGGTTTGTCTGTTCATACCAAAGAAAAGTTGTGGAATTTCATCACTTGTCTACGTCGATGAGTCATAGAAAGTCTTTCTATTCTGTTGTTTTCTTTGTTCTGCTATCCTGTATAACTTACACATGTTGCAATAAGACACGCTTTTCGGAGATTCTTGATCACAGAGACGTTGGTTTGGCTTGACAATTGAGAACCTCACCTATTTGAAACGAGTGCATCAAAAACTCATGCCATGGACATGTTCATTGACTTTTTCATGATCAACAATAAAAGATGATAGCTGCTTGAATTGCTGGTGAATTCTTAGAAAGTTGAAACGCGAATTACTAGAGAAACCCTTTATTGCAACTGTTTCTCTATAGTGTCCGTAGCATTTCCATTGCAGATTCTCTTTCGAAAATAGTGATTTTAAAGCGTTTTTATGTCTTCTTTCATATTACATCTTCTGAACTACAGGTGGGACTTTTTCACTGCTCTTAAGTTTGTTAATGTTCATGACTATACCTTACTTCAATTTGGATTATTGGAAATGCCAGATAAACAATGGGGCTGTCTTTTACCAAGCTTTTCTCTCGTCTCTTCGCTAAGAAAGAGATGCGCATTCTAATGGTCGGTCTTGATGCTGCTGGTAAAACCACAATCCTGTATAAACTCAAGTTGGGAGAGATTGTCACCACAATCCCCACTATTGGTAAGTTTCCCCTTTAACCATTTCCAGAATGAATCACGGGTATGATAAATCAAACCGAACTAAGAAATTATTTATCGTATCTTCCTCCTCTTTAAGACTACTGCCGTTTGAAACTGATTGTTTGCTAAATCATCTTTGCAGGATTTAATGTGGAGACTGTAGAGTATAAGAACATTAGTTTCACTGTGTGGGATGTTGGGGGTCAGGACAAGGCAAGTAGCGTCTCTTGCAAAATTTTATTTCCCCGTATTATTATCTAAGTTTTTCAGAATAAATATCACCTTAAAACCTTCTATTAATATAGTTCATCTGAGTTCTAGACTTTAGCGGCATGACTTTCGGCTTTCGTGTTTTAAACCCTCTTAGGATGCCTTTTGGACTTTTTCGATAGCCCATTATTAAAAGTTATTTTTTTCATCTGAAAAAAGAGTTTTGTCTTGGAGTTTAATTTACTCACATCAAACACGAACATGTATAAAATGATGGATCTGACAATCGCCCTTTCCTATATTTGTCTACCTGAAAACACTGGTGTGTTTGTGGTTTAAGATGTGATTGATTTGTCATTTCTAAACTATGATTTTATTGCATGAATGGTTTTAGATTCGACCTTTGTGGAGACACTACTTCCAAAACACTCAAGGGCTTATCTTTGTTGTGGATAGCAATGATCGAGATCGTGTTGTTGAGGCTAGAGACGAGTTGCACAGGATGCTGAATGAGGTAAGAGAACATAATCAGGAATTCAGGCTTACCTCTGCAATATCTCTGTCAGAAATATGCATCCAATTAGTAAAAGTAATTGGATTGGGAATTCCTTTCATGGACAGGATGAATTAAGGGATGCTGTATTGCTTGTTTTTGCAAACAAACAAGACCTTCCCAATGCAATGAATGCTGCTGAAATCACAGATAAACTTGGTCTGCATTCTCTCCGACAGCGCCACTGGTAAATTTGAGAGTCCACTCTTGGCTCTGCTCCTCCTCATCTATCCACCACTATCAATGGAAGCTCTGTATCATCACTTACATGTGCATAATTATTTTAATCAGGTATATCCAAAGTACCTGTGCTACTTCTGGGGAAGGATTATACGAGGGACTGGACTGGCTTTCAAACAACATTGCCAGCAAGGTTCTCCTCTTTCCTTTTCATTTGGCTTATAACCGGCATGGCTGGCTTACTTTAATTTTCTTTCCAAAGTATATGTGCTCCTGCTGAGTCTGAATAGAATGTTTTTTCGCCCATTCTTGTTCTTGTTTCAGGGTTAAAGGGACGATGGGTGCTGGTTATTTTTCTCAATTATGATACCAAGCTGTGGCCTGTCAACACTATTACAATATTTGTGCCTTTTTTCTATATACAGTGAAATCTAGTTTTGGTTCAAATAAAGTTCATGCAGACTGTTTGGCTTTAAGTTTGTGTTTAGTGTCTTTTCTTTTTCCCCGTTAATTACTCATTCTTCAGGGATGTTTAGCTGGCGCTATCTGCTTTATGAATATCGAGTATAGTTTTTTATTTGGCAGCAGAAATTTATGTGGAAACTGTGCTTCGCGCTTTTGTGACAAAAACTGTACTCCACAATTTTGTCGCTTCTTGGAATTGACAAACTTCAAGTGTCATATAACCGTTGTAACCCTCTAAAACATTGAAATTTAACGATATGTTCATGTCATCAGTTGGAAACTTTCCCGGCTGCATGAAATATTTTTGTTTCTTTATATTACTCTCCCCCCCCCCCACTTACACTATGTTTGGTTCTATAGAAGGAAGGAGAGAGATTTTAACGAAAGGGAGAAAAGAAAAAGATAAGGAGGGGTAGTTAGAGAGGGGAGGGTATGAAAGGGGAAGTGAAGGGAGGGATGAGGAGAAAGAAGGAATTTTAATAATATCTTGTTCGGTTTAGAAAGGGAAAAGCTCATCAAAAATTGACTATTTTAACATATACAATTAAAATAGATTTTTTCACTTTTCTATTCTATCAAGATATAAATATGTAGAATGCAATCCACCAAATTTAATAAAAAATTGTTGAAGTTGCATGAAAATTAAACTTACAAATTATATACTAGTTATTGTTCAAAATAACAATAGTTATAATATTTTTAATTGGACCATCCTTCTTTAAAAAACAAATTAAAAAAATAGATAGAACTTGTCTAACAATAAAAATTGCAATTAAAACAAATATACACATTTCCAAAAAAAAAAAAAAAGATCCATGTAAAAAAAGATGCATGGGTGAATATATCATCCACATTAAAAAAGAATTCAAATAACAATAACATAACATAAAATTACTTCTAATGAGAATATGAAGAAGATCCAAACACTATATTTAAGACCATTGTTTTATGTACTGGAGGTGAGCATTGAACAACTGATTTTAACTTGTCAACATCACTCATGAGATAGTTATATAGATTTGGGGCTTTTTGTTAGCATCAAATCCACAATCACCTATCAAATGCTAAATTTCCTCACCTGGCATGGGTGGAATCTTGTGAATATAATTCTCTTTTTATAACATTTGACTCGTGTAATAAATTATTATCCCAATTCAAAACGCCATCAATTAAATCATGACCTTGAGCTAATACTTCAATACCTTCTCTAATTGCTTTTGCCATTTCAGTTTTGAATTTCAAAAGATGATGATCGATTGATCTCAATTGTGTGATGGCTTCTGGGGTGTAGGCACACGATAGATTAGGGCATTGAAAAATTAAGAAGGCATTCAAAAATAAAAAAGATAAGAAAGGAATAAAAAAATTTTATTCTGGTTAATTTTAGAATATAAAATTTTATCTCTCATCTCCTTTTTAAAAAAAAACCCTCATTTAGAGGGGAGGTTAGGAGAGAAAAGAAGGGAATGAGAGTCCCTTCCCTTTTTAAAAGATATACTAACCAAACAAGGAGAGTGGTCCTCCTCTCTTTGAAAAATATGCCAATCAAATGAGAGGACTTCCCTCCAAAAATCTTGTACCAAACATAGTATTAGCGTATTGTTGCAATTGCAAAAGCAATTGCAAAACATTCTATCTAGGCTGACGTTGGATGAGTTGAGCGAAGGTTAAAGTTTGAGCTTTGGATTAGAGATGAACGTTAAAAGCGGTATCCCAATTGAGTGAAGGCTTAACGATGATAAAATGTAACCGAAGAGAACTTGATGGTTCTCTCATTTATAGTGTTAAGATAAAAGCAAAATGCAGAATACTTATATTAAATTTTATTTATTTATTATGTTAAGTTCTTCAATTACATATAGACATATCTTTTATTTTTAAAATAATATCATTTAATTATAACCCATAAAAAAATAGAACACATAATTATGTGTAATTAGAAAACTCGACATAATAAATATAAGTAACTTGACCTGACCTAAGTATTTTCGCAACAAAATCTGGTTGAAATTGATAATAGATAATTTTATATTTTAAGTCCAAAAAAATAAATACGGATAAACAAGAAAATAAATTTTGAACGATTAAAAATTAATTTAAAATAAAATGGTGTCAGAAAAACAACATGTCTACGTGGAGAATCAGCGTGACCGTGCAAATGGAAAAGAGGCAACTGCCCACAGCCACGAACCCGACACGTTCTCTTCATGCAGAGAACTGTGTCGTCTTTATAATCTCAGTTCCCCCGCGCTCACTCTACAAAGCAGACGCAATAGCGCTGTAACATCAGAAGCCTCTTTAATTGTCGTCTTCTTCTTTGAAGCTTCTTTCAGGGAGAAAATGCCAGGCCTCACCATTGGAGACACTGTCCCTAACCTTCATGTCCAAACCACCCATGGCGACTTCAAGCTCCACGACTACTTCTCTGGTTCCTGGACCATCCTCTTCTCTCACCCTGGTTTGTTCTAGTTTATCACATACCTTCGTTTTCATTTACGTGTTCAAGCATCTTCGATGATTCTATACAGACAATTAATAACGTAACTGATGTACTTAACACAGGCGATTTCACGCCGGTGTGCACCACGGAGCTTGGGAAGATGGCTAAGTACTCTGAGGAATTCAAGAAGCGAGGAGTGAAGCTGTTGGGTCTGTCATGTGATGACCTCAATTCCCACAAAGAGTGGATCAAAGACATTGAAGCCTATACTGTGAGTTTTCAGAAACCCCATAATTAACTGTTCTGGACACATTCATCCACAAAGAATTTGTAATTTAGAAGACAACAAATTGTATGTTTCTATGTCGCATGCAGCCAGGTGCAAAGGTGGACTATCCCATCATCTCTGATCCTACTAGAGACATCATCAAGCAACTCAACATGGTAGACCCCGCTGAGAAAGACCCCAAGGGCTCCCAACTCCCCTCCAGGGCTCTTCATATTGTGGGCCCAGAAAACACGGTGACCCTTTTCTCTCCCCACAATTTGCACTTTTTTTCAAGACATCAGGCAAAATTACAATACAACGCACTCACACACTTCTTTTGGGTAAAATGTTCACGTGGGGTTAATGTGTTGCAGATAAAGCTGAGTTTTTTGTACCCTGCGACTACTGGAAGGAACATGGACGAGGTGGTGAGGGTGTTGGATTCTCTGCAGAGGGCCTCCAAGCATAAAGTGGCGACCCCAGTCGACTGGAAACCTGGGGAACCCGTAGTGATTTCGCCAGGCGTGAATAATGAGGAAGCCAAGGCCATGTTCCCTCAGGGTTTTCAGACGGTGGACCTTCCGTCAAAGAAGGAGTATCTGCGTTTCACTCAAGTTTCTTGATGAGCCTTTCCTCTTCGGCTACCTGTTTGAGATATAAAAAAAGTCTAATCTCAGAAGAAATAGCAATGTTTTGCGCTTCCTTTTCTCTTGTTGTCTTTGTACATGCGTGTCTCTCTCGTTTTGACAAGTATGTCGACTCCATGTCTCGAGTCCTCAGTTTCTATGCTGTGAAAATATCCTGTATCTAGTAAGTAAAACTCGTTTCTTCTTTCTACTACTGCCAAGTCCTGTATGATTTCCGCCCCTAATCAGAATTTTCTTTGTTCTATTCGTTTCATTGAGCTATTTTTCACGCAAAGGGGTTTTTTCCCCCTAAAAAAAACTTGTTAGGCATAACCGAGTATTTATGCATTATCGGATGGTTAGATGATAACTAAAACCGAAGTCCTAAGCAGGCCCAAATATGGCTTTCCAACCGCCACCTTCAATATTCGACGTTGCCGTCCTCCCAAACTGCTCTTGTGGTTCCTTTTTGGTGAACAACTGAAGCGAGCATTGGTAGAATCAGATTTTTTTTTTCTTTTTTTTTGACAAAAAAAAACTCCTTTTTCACGACAAAAGGATTCCAAGTGTATGGTGTAGAATTGTTATACTACCTTAACCGTATGGCTAATAAAACTACATCAGGTTTTCATAATATTCACTAGGTTGTCAAAATACTAAGCGTTACCCTGCGAACCTTTTCCTGAAAGCACCCGATAACCTTATTCATTGTAATGCAAATTACAAGAAGATGATGCCAATATTAATGAAAACTCACTATCCAAACAAAGCTTTTCTGTAAAGCAAAACATAAAGTCATAGATAGACCTGCTTTAATCTCATTTGATGTTTCTAATGGACAAATCTAACATACACGGAAATTCCTGTTCAGATTTGACGAACTAAATCCTATGAGAAAACCTTTTATAAGCAAAATATGTAGAACCTCAATGGCTAGATGGCTTGCACCCTACGCAACAAGTTAAACACACTGGGATGGGAAAGCTTGAATTCAGCAAGATAACCTAACACCAACATGTTATAGTTCTAGACAGGGTTCTATCTCTTCTTCCTTCCACCTTTCCCAGATTTGTTGGAGGGTCCGGCTGATGCTGATGTTGATGCAGGTTCCTGCTTCTTTGCCCTCCCATGATGTCTGGGCACCATCTCCGCCACCCGAAGCATCAGACTTTTTCCTGCAACAATCAAAACAAAAGGTAAGAAGGCAGATTCAGATTCATCAAATTTAAGCTTCAAAGTTGGACCTTAGCACTTGCATTTTCACAATTCAATTTTTATACGAGATGCGGTTTTCGCGATTTATCAGCGCTTCAAGCTAAAAATACGTATTTAGTGCTAAAGATTAAAAAACCACAGGACGTCGTGAGAAACTTCTCCGCAGAAGGCATTCCATGATGAACAATATTTCTCGTAAACGGGGCTATCTCGTACCATAAAAAATCAACTTGCCTGATCAATTGTATCGAAACTCTTAGCACAAGTAACTATATCAACAGTGTCCAGGCCCAATATACTTAAATTATAAAAATTCTATCCTTCAAGACATACTAAACCAGATTTGGCAATTAAGACTAATCCTCGTTAAATGTGTTGGCAATGTTGTGAATTTGTGATAGATCACTGCTAAAAGCTACAAATAGGGCAGCCTCTGCCAGCAGTTGAAAATGTTGTCTTCTGCTTAGGACATTCTCAGATGCTACTTAAGATACATTAAGCAGAACGCAACAACCAAAGAGATATTTGATGAAAGTGATCAAATTACAGCAATGATTCAGATTCACTCAAAGACTATATAAAAGTTCAGATATTATAAGAACAGCAAATCAGTAATAACTGCATATATGCGCTATCTTACTGGATGTAATGGAAGGATTATATAGCGTCCCATCCTCCTTTTTCAGCAATACCCGCACTCTACCCCGTTGCATAAAATCTCGTGGGTATGCCTTGTCTATCTGCAATTGTCAAGAAAAGTTTAAGTAAAACCATTACTAATAGTCCAGTTCACAGACAGCATTTGAAGGGAACGTGCAAAGGCACAAAACAATTGGAAAGAAAAGGCATAGAATTAAATGAACAAATAAGACTATGTGCATGAAGTATGACAAGATATGATAAATTTTAAAATTTCTAAGACATAAGTACTAGAGACATAAATATAGTTATGTTTATATCCAGTAAACTGAGCTTTAAACAAGTAGTTCGAAAGTAACATAAGAAATTGTTCATAACAAGCAACCAAGATGTTGGGTGATATTTTTTTTTTTTGGAGCAATCTTTTAAACTGTCCTGGGAACATTTTCAAAACACAATATGATACATATGTCAGAATATGGTGCACATATTGCAATATAAAGTACGTGCATGGCGTCGAATGCAATCTAATACAGGTATGTGTACCTTTTTTAACTTTTGATACAACACAGGAATTTATTCAAACTAAATAAGAACACTAAATCATACAGCAACAAACCTCAATTGCAAAGGGAATTTTAAGATAGCTGCAGCAATCACCAATCTCAGCGCAAGTAGGATTCTCGCATGCCTTGCTCAGGCCAATTCTCCTTCCTTCAGCTACTGTCTTTTTCGAATTTATGTAGACAGGGTACAAAACAATCCACTTCTTTATGTTGGGTAATTCTCCTTCCATTCTTCTCATTCAAAATTTTACAAGACCATTAAGATAGGCACAAGTATGCCTAAAGGGAGCAGAAAAATCTGTGAAGAACAACCATAAATTATAATAACCTTCTTCTCTTCCTAATTGCTAAAAATATCTTCTTCTAAAAAAATCGACTTGAAATTAACTCTGTACACAATGTTCAGACCACTGCAGTCACTCATATATGGAGAACAAGGAGAAACAAACAATCTAGCGCAAACAATCAAGTAAGGAAACATGAAAATAAACAACAATGAGGATGAAATTTAATGCTTTCAGCACCAAAAAAATCCACTTTTTCAATAAAAGCAATAACTGCATACATAAAAATCAATGACGGTGTCTCTTTCAAAGAAAATTCTATGCGCACTCCCTAATTTCAGTTGTAACAAGCATTGAACGCTAATCAAGAGCCGACGAGAATTGGGCATGAAGATCGATAACCAAGGAAGATTTAGAGTAGGCAGGCAATCTAAAGAGATACAAAGCAGCGATTTGGCGCAGCCGTCAAACGGATTTTACGAGGTAGTAAAACAGAAAGGACGAAAAATGTAAAAATAACATAGAAGAACGAAGAAAAGCTGACAGCAGACCTCGATGTCGATGTCTGGTGATGAATCGCTGACGATGCCTTCGGGTTCCGGGTTCCTCAGATCGACGACGCCGGTGCAGATGCGTTTAATATCTATTTCTATTAGTTGAAAAAAAATTGATTACAATGCAGGACAAATTAAAAAAAAAAAAAAAAAGCAACGTACTACTCACAATATTAATTATAAGACCTCACTTATACTACAAATAAAGTCTTATAATTAGAATTGGTAGTATATAATAAAAAGAGGCAATTAATGAAAAATTCCTCCTTGCAAAATTTACTTTTTCAACACGGTATTTCTTATTCTTTCTCAATGCCTTCATTTATTAACACAATTTTTTTAACAAAATCTACATATCTCATTGTAACAGAGGGTAATTACGTGATAATAGAAATAATAGGAGATATTGTGAAATATTGAAGATAATGAAAGAAAGATGAATATATTGTATTCATATCAACAACTTATTTTTTTGGGTGTATAATATACGAATGTTATCTTTGGGCTGGAAGGCTCACCCAGGGGCAATCTGTGTTAAATCATATGGTAAATTTTCATATGCAACATTCCTGTATTCTGAAAGGGGTGAAGCAGCAGATGGAGAAAATACAAAGAGACTTCATTTGGGATGGGAAGGATGATAAGAGAAGGATACATTTCGTTAGCTGGGATTTATTATATGCTTCAAAGGAAAAATGAGTGTATGGGCTGAAAGATTTAGGGGTCATGAATGATGCTTTATTAAGCCGCATTGGTTGGGATTTCCTGTCAAAGCCAGAAAGTTTGTGTTCAAAAGTATTGAGAGGGAAATACAAGAGGAAGGTGAATTTAATTGAGAACTGTATGCTTAAAAACTCTGATTCAAAAGTGTGGAAGGATGTTGCACAAGTTTTGCCTTGTTTAGTAAATGAAGTAAGATGGGAGGTAGGAAACGAATTGGATACAAGGTTCTGGTGGGATAGGTAGTTAGAGAATAACAGAAAGCTGGCTGATTTTTGCTTGGTGAATCTGGACAAGGCTTTGTTACAATGTAGAGTTAATGATATGGTGTTGGAGAATGGTGAGCAGGATTTAGAGAAAATGAAAAGGGAATTTTCTGAAGAAGGTTGGAGGTTAATTCTGACGACCCCGCCTCCAAACAGGGATTTTGGGAAAGATTTTATTTAGAGGGGGTCCTCGTTGCAAGACAAATATGTTGTTTCAGATGTCTATAGATTAATAGAGAATGAGGGGAGGGAAGATGAAGCGATATGGAGGAAGATTTGGGAGGGAAGGGTCCTAGGATACTTCAAATCTTCCTATGGACAGCAGCTTATAATAGGTTATTGACTGTTGAGAGAAGAGCTCGGATTATGGTGGGGGTAGTAGCATGTGTCAGCAATGCAAAGCTAATACTAAATCTCTGATGCATGTATTGAGAGACTGTGCATATGCAAAGAATCTTTGGCTATTGTTAGAAGAAAGAACAAATGATCTGGAAGTTTTTGTGTTACAAGGGAAAGATTGGCTTGATTGGGGTCCTAGTCGAAGAGATAGGAGGAAAGTTACTGTGGTGTGACGTGTTAGATGTTATGGAATTGGAGAAACAAGTCACTGTTTGATGAAATATTTTGGTGCCCAGAGGCCAAAGATCCAAGTCTGGTAATAAATAGCTTTGTGAATTTTGTAATGAATATTATTTAACCTTCAAATGCACTGGGAATTAGGGCCTGTTTGGCAATATGATAAAACCATGATTTTGGGACCCAAACCATGGTTTGGGTTCTAATTTTGAACTCAAATTAAAGAGTATGATTGTGCCTGTTAGAGTAGATCTCAACGATAATATGACTTTAACACCCATCAATTATTTTTTTATAAACATATTTAATCTTATATTTTATAAATATATACACATATTAATTATTTATTAATTATATTATCTTATATATTATTAATTATATTGGTAAAAAATATATTATTAACAATTTTATTCTTTTAAATTAAAATATATGATAAAACCTATCTTTTATGTAATTATCATATTAACTTATGTTAATTTGTATATATAAAAAGTGCTTTTGATAACAATTATCTAAACACTCTCACTTTATCAGAATCACTTTTTCACAAAATCTATTTTTCAGAAACTATTCTCTAAATTATAGTTTGTTTTCATCCAAACACCTTTTTAGAAGAAAAAAGTATACGTGAGTTGGGTGGCTCCTCAGGTTAGCTGGATTAAATTGAACACCGATGGAGCATCAAGAGGATGTTCTGGTTTGGTTGGGTATGGTAGTTTACTTCATGGATCTGATGGAAGGTGGATCAAAGGCTTCTCAAGGAAGTTTGGGACATGTTCAGCCATTAAAATTGAGATCTCGGCCGTTGTTATAGGTTTAAAGTTGACAGAGGAAGCCGGTATCAATTATTTAGTTGTTGAATGTGATTCTTTGTCTATTGTAAATATTTTACAAAAACTAAGAGAGGAGACAAATGAAATGTCTAGTATCTTAAAGTTTGTGGAGTGTAAATTAGATTTGATAGGATCAAGTTTCAGCATGTTTACAGGGAAGGCAATGCTTGTGCTAATAAGCTTGCCAATTTAAGTTTTGATTTTGATGACGTGGTTACTGTTTTTACAATTTTACTAGGCCACCACGTATAATCCACAAGCTTATGTACCTAGAATTTGTGGGAATTTCCATCCCACGCTCAGTGAAATGATATCTTTCTTGGTTAAGACCCCGTATTCTCACCCAAAAAAAAAAAAGGTTATTAATATATTTTCAAGAAAGTCTAAATTTTTTTATTTTGTATATAAAAAAAGAGGAGTTACCATTAAAAGATATTGCCATTACATCCGTAAGCAAATTTCAATTAGTTTTAAACAATAAAACATCCTCCTAATAAAGTTACCATAAAAATGATTATAGGCGCAGCTATGGAGGAGGTTCTCTCAAAGAAAACAACTACTGCATATAAGAAGACCATTCAATCCCCGAACAAAGCATACCCAAATAGATGGGGGTTAGGGTTTTTGGGGGGAAAAGGCGGGGATTTTGATTAGTGGTAATTCGGGTGCGACTAGGAGTTTAACGTAGCCAACAAGAATGGATTCTAAGGAGTTGGAGCAAAAGATTAAAGAGGTGAGATTGGAGGAAGATGCTGCGAGCACTTCGCAATTTCGGAGAGAGGATCATGGGGCCGAGCATGATGCTGGTTTGCAGATCACTTGCTTTTCTGAAGTCCTCAACGATGTCACCTTCCATTTTCAGATCATTCGCTTCCCCAAACAGGTATCTGATCCCTCTATCTGAATTTAATGTTTATCAGGGCTGTGTAGAGTTTATCTTTAACTTTTCCTTACAGGGTTCAGTTGACAATCAAATATTCTGTTGCAAACTTGCAATTACCATTTCACTGGTGCACGTATAGAAGGGTTTTGAGTGTGCAAATTTGAAAATTTTGCCTCTTCTGCTTAATGCTCATAGAGTTATAGACTTTCTTGATTTTTTCTCTGGAAGAGCTTTTCTTTGGATATTTGCTTTTGATGTCCGGTTCTTGTGGTGACTTGCAATTCAAATCAGAAAAATTGGAAACCAATATAAATTGGATAAAATGAGTATGAGTGGATTGGAATTTAAACTTTCCACTGTTTATTTTGTAAAACTGTCAGATTTTTGGTGTCTAATTACGAAGAACTGTCGTAGCCTCTGTCTTCCATTGTATTGAATGAGGGGAATTTCAGGCCAAAAGAAAGGCAGAAAATATTTAATAATCCTGGGAATCTTCTCTCCTTACAATTAGGCAGTGGAGACTTTCTAGGCTCCTTTTGGAATCAATGATTCAATGCAAGCAAGGAAAATTAGGTGGGAGAAATCAAAACTGACCACATGCTATAATACATATGGTAATGACGTATTTTCGTTCATTCTCCTCTTCCTAAATTAAGCCTTAAAGCCCTTATTTACTTCTACTTTTTCGCTCTTCTTTGCATTGTTCACTGGGTATGGAAAATTTTGAATGCATCGACAACCTTCCATTATAACCTTAGTTTGATGAGGATAAGTTTATAATCCAAATATTTCATAATTGAGTAATTTCATCTCCAGTTTTGGACAGGTTAATCTTACTGCGTTTATTAACATCATTTTCTTCATGGTCATTCCCTTCACACGCTCATTAATTTTTTTTTTTTTTTTTAAACCGGGTAGCAGAATCTTTATTTCTAGTTTCTCTTCAAACTTTTCCAAAGAACTTATTTTATTCGGTGAATTTTTCCTCTTTCCTTTTTATTGGCCCTGAGGTGAATTTTATCTTTTCTAAACTATTTGGCTAGTAGTTCTTGCTGTTTTATGTTGCAACTTTTCACATTTGAAATAGGAGGTTAGTAGCTGCAGTTCCCAAATAATTTCTACCCTCACTGACGGTGACAACTAAGATTAATACTTCTGACAAATTGGACTATATATATATATATATATATATATATCTGAACTAGTAGTAGAATTTTGCGCACCTTGTACTTTGCATAGGGCATTATGTTTTCATTGCTTTGACTATTGTGTCATTCTCTTGATTTTAA